GTAATGGCAAAGAATCTTGTGGAAAACACAGCCAGTAAAAAGATCAAATCAAAAGCCCTCACTAGATGGACAGCTGCCAACAAATGCCTTTGTGGCTACTTCTGCTAATAGGATAAAGGGTTTTTTAAATGATGCAATTGGAGGGACAATTCATAGAGGTCTCACCTTTTCTAGGTGATGCTGAAAAAATAATTTCCAATGCAAGATGTTAAATAACATTTCATACAATGCAACGGCAAAAATTCTACAGTGTCATCCAGGTTATTGTGACAGGCATGTGTAAGCTTCAGAGGATCTTTTTAAGAAAAAGACTGCATCAAATCCACTGAAAATTTTAATTTTATCTTTGGGAAGAGAAGAACTTCTGTGCTTCTAAAACTAGTCTTGTTAGTCAGTGGAAGTGAATGACCAGCAACAGCAAAAAATGTTGACCGTAAGCAGCAGTTGCCACAGATTTCTTCCTTTTCACACAGAAGAGGAGAATTTTTAGTATGATAACATCCCCATCTGAAAGTGGCAGGGTTTTTTCTTTCCAATTGGATTGTTAGTCAGGAACATTCGTTCGGGGACTTAATCAAGGATTAAAATTTTGTCACAAAATACATCTGGGTATTTTCTAGGTGGGAAAACTCACGGACATTGTTTACCAGTTCCAAGCAAGTGTATCCCTAATTAAGTAAACAAGACTGTTCAGATCTAATTAAAATTACTGGTTCAAGGAGTACGGTTTTGAACCCAGACTCAGCACTCTGATTCTCCATGCAGTTCCCCAAGCAGCTGTGCTTGTTCAGCAGAGCTGGCAGTACCTTCCAGCACTGGCATGAGAATGAGCAGCAGGAGGCAGTGAGGATGGTAACTTCTTACTCCATAAATGTGGTTCAAACCCTTCAGACATGGCACATGTTCCCCTCTGCAGACTCTGCTGCAGGGTAGTAATCTCTGGCAGGGTCAGGATGGGCAGCTGGGAGGAGTGACGCCTTAATCTGCCAAAGCACAATTCAGGGTTTATCTGTTAGATCTCTAGGAAGCATACTTAGTCACCTTCTTTAATGAGAGTTAATTTCATGAGATGTTGTCCTGTGCGAGTTGCATCAATGTGATGTTTTCTACTTTGAGCCTGTTCCGAGTGTTTCATCTTTCAAAATGACATCAAAATTGATAAAGCAACTGCAGCAGTTGGAATCCTATGGACAGTGGAATTGTACATTCCTATGGCTCCTGAATTTGGCTTTTAAACCCTGACTCCCCTGTTGTAGGAAAAGAGGGCTGGTTCATACTTAATGCACAATTGGAGCTGTGATTCAGGTAGCCAGACAGGTTATTTACACCTCCCTCTGTGTCCAACAAGACTTGAAAATGCTAGAACATGCCATAATACTTATTAGTTTATTCCCAGATCTCCAGAAGGTCTTGTTTTTCCTGTCTGTAAGATATAATTTAATACAAGAAATGTATCTTTTAAGCAAGATCATATTTGGTTCTTAGGCTTAAAGAAATGCCTTTTTACTTTTGAATCTTTGTAGGAGTTGGATCATTCTGAACAGGGTGGAGTGCCTCAGCTAGAACCTGTACTACCCCCAAGGTAAGTGCAATTCTTCAGTGACTCACTTAAAGGTGGTATTTCTGAGTTGGTTTGCCTACGTAGTCTCAGTGTAGACACCACAAGCTCTAGTCCTAACTCAATAAGCTTGGGTAGGTGGTATGCTCACTAATAAATAGGCAAGACCAAGTTGCTAGCTGATTAATACTTGTTTGTACATTATCGGTATGAGCAGGGAGATTATAGGAGGACAGCTGTTTGGCTCTTCAGCTAATGTACAGTGGCTGCTGACAGTCATTCCTTTCTGCATCTTTAACCTTTTCACCCACAGCTGAACGTAGAACATCTCCTTCTGCATGTTGCTGACCTTTTGATCAACAGCACTTGCTCTTGTGACTGGCTTTGAGTGTTGAAGGAATGGAGGTGGCAGATGCTGCCACCCTGGAAAGGGTCGATGCTGGGCCAGCACCTTCCCAGGAGTACTGGCTGATTTACACTGTTCACTTCAGACCTAAAACACCTGCAAAAGTACAGAATCAATGATAACCTTGGGGTTTTTTATTCTGTTGAACCAGCAAGAACGGGTGTCTGCAGAGACAAAAGTAAAGTAGCTGGACCAGCCTTAAATTCAGGTCCACTTAATGCCAGAGACAAACTGGAGGGAGATAAGGCATTGGGTAGCTAGCCCGCTAGATCTCAGCATCTACACTCTTAACCTGTGGGTTTAAACACAAGAGTTTGCTCTGTTGTGTCAGGACAAAAGAATCTGTCAGTTATTAAACTTATTTTACCAATAATAATAAGTATTCATTAACAGGAAAGAATGCAGCTATGCCCACAAGGAACCACCCCATTATTGCGCCTCATGGGCTTGTTACTTTCTGGTTAGTGTAACAGCATTCTTGATTCTCTCAAAGGTCTCAAGAAATGCAGTAAAGGTTTGTGTTGTGCTTTCACTCTTCTGCTAAAATTGATTTTTATTTTTTTTTTTTTTTAAGTAAGCAATAATAAATCTCTGAATTGCTTGTTAGGGTTTTCTCATTGAGTTGTCTTACAAACATACGGGTGGGTTTGTTTCCAGATCAATGCAGCCTAACTGGGAATTTCCCCTTTTGTTAATATGACAGATGCTTAGTTTAAGATGAGGCCATGAAAGGGGGAGTGGTGGAAATTGAACAGAATTGGAAAGGTTTTTTTAAATTTAAAAAATAATCCATACTCCAACAGTAACAGAGAACTCTTACCAGGAGCACTAATGTCTTCTCAAGTGGTGGAAGATACTCACAAAATATATCAGGATACTCCAAAGATTCAGTAATGCACGTTTGTTGTGGTTGATAATTTTTACAGATCCTTGAGGAATTGATGTGAGCAAATAATTATGCTGAATTACACTATATAAAAAAAAAAAGCCAATTGTAGCAGAAACGTGCAGCCACTGGCCGAAGATTTACCAATAACAATCAACCAACACTCTATTTTTGGAATAGTGGTAGTGTCAGGGTTCTTAATAACAGAAAGTCAAGTTTTATCTACACAACACTTGTTTATAGTAAAAGTTATTTTTAGTTAGCAAAGTATTGATTTGGCCACACTCTTTGATTCTAAAAATCGTGATTTGTATGTACTGTGTAGGCAGCTTTTTTTTTTTTTAATCAGTGCTAAGTAAGAGAGGTTTTACAAACATTTTTTAATTTTTATTTTATTTTTTTTTAAATTACCACTGTCACTTACTAGTCTCTGATTTTGGTTTCTAAATTCCTGGTACAGTAATGAGAGTGTGGTACCTCCAGCACTGCCAGAAAACTCAACTCCAGAATTTTCACTGGTGTTTCCTTTCTGCGGTAGGCATCTGTTGCATAAAAATGGTAAATTCTGCTACTGATGTCATTGTACAGAGTGATGTCATATGTGTTGAGTTTTAGCAGAGACCCAAAAGTCACTTCAGGTAATTGACAGCATAGAGAATGAGCTGGGCTGATTCCTGAAGACCAGTGAGGTCAGCAGAGCTTGTCAAGGCTTTCCCTAAAGCTCTCCACTAGAACTCCGTCATGAGGCAGCTTCAGACAAGGTGGATTGATGAAAGAAATTTTGCTTATGTACTAGGCTCCCAAGAAAGCTGGCAGGATGTTGATAAGAAAGAAGTGAGCATGCTTGGAAATAAGTAGTGAAAGGATCTAAGGACTTGATCATCCAGTCCCAGTATCTGAAGAGTTTTTGTTGTCCATATGTGGACATTGTGAAAAAAGAGTTTTTCCCAGAGAGCTTTGGACACTACACACTCTGCAGCCCAGACCAACGTGAATCGTGTTTACTTACTGCATACTCCATAGCTAGGGCTGTGGTGGAGTCCAAGGTGGGGGCTTACTAATATGCTTATTTCTCTGATGGTTTGTCCAATTTTTAGGGCTGTGGATGGAAAAATTATACCTGCTCGACCTCCTCCACCTAAAGGTGTTCCTGGAAGGCCACCTCCTCCAAAACTCTCTGCAACCAGGAACTCCTCCCATAAGGATGCTCTATCACGATCTACTTCTGACATAGCTCCTGATAAAAAACCCAGCAAGTTCAAATTGGGACCCAAGAGAGCAAAAAGTCAAGTCTTTAAAAATCCAGATCCAGCATTACCTCCTAGGCCTAAACCAGGTCATCCTCTCTACAACAAATACATGGTGAGAGTTCAGATATTGTGTCTGAGACCTGTTCTTTATAAAACAGTGCTGATTAAAATAGTAGTGAAAAAGGTAGTAAGGTAGGTTACTATGATGTGGCTTGCACAGTGCATCTATCAGAATAATCTTCCTTAGATAGAAAATACTAACAGATAAATAGTAATAAGCACTGTAACATAGTACTGGAGAAAGCAATATATACATGCAAGTAGTGAGATGTGTGTGTATTGTTCCATGTATATATCTGTGTTTACACCTTTTGGGGTTTGGGGGTTCTTTTTATAGTCACCAGTTCTGAATTCTGTTACATCACATAAAATGATGCTAAATAATTCTGTATGTAAATTGTTTTTCCCCATACATGTCAAAATGCTTAAGAAAATTTGGGCAGTATTGGAACCTAAAAAGTAGTTCACCTTGCTTAATCAAGCCTGCAAAGAGCAAGGAATAAAACAACACTAATCTTACATTTTCATCCTGTTGATGCCATCCCTTTTCAGTATAAAAATGTTTCTTTTTGGTATTGCATGTGTTGTTGATCCATTTAATACTTCCTAACGTTACAGATTAAAAGGAGAGAGTCTTTCCCCAGATACTTGAAACTGGTTTAGTGATCAGAGCTGGTAACTGCTTGAAGCAGTGCTTTGGTCAAACAAACCATGCACACAAGTGTGGCGTGAACAACGACAACATTCAGCATGAAGTGGAAGCTTTCTGTTGCCTCCTTTTTGATCTTCATTCTTGCATTTAGATTCTTGGTGGAGCAGAGGAGCAAGAAAGAGAGAAAGATGTCTCTAAGTTGATAGGAGAAATAGCTTTGAGAGAAGGGAAGTATGTTTCTTCCTCTCTGATGTAGCCACGTCTGTTTACATAGAAACATGTGATATATTTTTGTAGATGTAATTTTTTTTCTGTAGCGGGTCACTAAGTAATTCCCTGCCTTCAAGTGTTACTGTCAATGAAATATTCCTTCCTGGTTGTTTTTCCATGACAAACAAGTACATTTCTGTGTCAGTGTGCTGCTGAATGTCACGTACCCTGTGGTATGGTATCAGTTAGGTGGCTGAGACACTTTTAGAACAGATGTCAACACCTGGGTTTCTCCAAGTGGCAGTTCGTATCACCAGCAGTCTGTTCTGAATGCCTTCCAAAGGAGCTTGTCCTCTTCCATTGGACTCCTAAATTAGTTACCTGTGGTTTGACCAGTTCCATCATGTGACCATTTTCACTTGCAGTAGGAATTTCAGATGCTTAGAAGTGAAAAAAACTTTTCCATTTGCCTCTGTTTCTTTTTAAGCTACATGTGCCTCCTGGAGTTGCCAAGGAAGATTGTCTTCCCAGAAATACTGGAGAACTGCCCTGTAAGGTGAAGCATTTTTTTTTCTGCTAATAAATATTTAACAAGCAAGACTCACATTGCGTTGAAGTGTCAAGTGCTTTAGGCTGTGAATGTTACACCAAGAAATGTAATAATGGTTTATTAAATCCTAGTGTTTCTTTAATAAAAACAAAACCACCACCAAAACAAACCCAAATAATGGTGATTTGCCTTGTAGCACAGGGACATGCTGCTTATGAGGCAGAGCAACAGTAATTACTTGGAGTGCCAGAAGGGAGAGGAAACTGGTAAAGTTCCTCTGTCTCATGGGAAGATAATCACTCCTTTGGCTGAGTATCTGAAAAGTGGGCAAAAGATAAGCAAGTAGTTTTATGAAGTGCTGTACATGATAGATCAGCAAATTGGCTTTGACATACAGACTTCAAAGTGTTTTCCTCTCTCTGCATGTACAGAACCTAACCTGGTTTTAGGGCACGACTGTATTAATATTGAACAGCTAGTATAAATCGTAGCAATGAGCAGCCTTTTTGATTGTTATCAGAAACCTACATGGCTGAAATAGATTTCTATGCAATCTGTTGTTATCTGCTGTAATTTATATTATTCTGGCTTTATCTCTGTCCACGTTGGACTTTTTTTATTGGTTTTTTTTTTTTGTACGCAATTAGTTACTTCGAACGTAATTCACACACAATGATTGTCATCAGTACAGTCTAAAAATTCCCAGTGGGTGGGATAGAGAAGGTGGCTCAGCATTTCGAATGTGATTTCTGTATGTAAAGATCCCACAACAAAATTGTTGTTTCCCCTCAGCGTTACCTTGCTGTAAGGAAAAGCCAAGTGGCTCGCTCGTCCCTCTACAACGCTTGGCAGGCAGCAGATGTGCTGTTGCTGCTGAGTGTGCTGGGGAGAGTTGGGCTGGGGTGTTCTCTTACAGCAAGGGAGAGTAACTGGTGGCACACAGTACTGAGCAGCAGTACAAAATTTGGCCACAAGCGTTGCAATGAGGGCTGCTGTCAGCACTCCAGATTTCTGACCCGTGGAGATAACTGAGGCTCTGTCTGCGCTGGGAAAAGTGACATGCCTTCCCTTCCATATACTGGCTCAAAAGCAGATTTTGGTGAAAGGCATCCTGGTTTACACTGGCAGAAAGCATGCAGAATTCAGATCCACAGCTGTGTGACCAATAAAAACTAGAGTTACCTTCCAAGGTAACTCTCTGATACTGGAACAGCATTGTGCCCAAAGTCAGAAGATGAATTTAACAGTACGTAACGGAGAATCTCTGTTAGTATCTTCCATGATTCATAAACTACTTGAATTTATTGTTTGTTGTCAGGATTCAAACCACCCTCCAAAAGGTTGTGACACAAGTGCACCTCATGCTGTAGTCCTGCATGATTTTCCTGCAGGTAAGTAAATGTGAATGTTCTGGAAGCTTGCTTTTCTACAAGACTTTCAAAGGGGAATTTTCTTAGGAATCAGGGTTTAAAAATTATGAGGAAGCTCAGCCTACAAAGTCTGCACATGGAGCTGTTGAAATCCAGGGGTTTGGCTGTAGTTGGGCCAATCTTTTAGTTAAAGCTAACTGGCTTATCAAGTTTAAGACGACTTGTTGAAAACTCGTTCTAGTATTGCCTGTGGTATTTATATTAAGGTTTTACTTAGAGAAAATCAGTGAGTGTGACAACTACCATTAACAGAAATGATGCTGTCTTACAGAGCATGCTGGTGACTTGGATCTTCATTCTGGAGACACCGTTTGTCTTTTGGAGAAAATTGGTACTGAGTGGTACAGAGGAAGATGTGGGAATCGCATAGGGATATTTCCTGCCAGCTTCGTTAAAGTAGTTGTATGTAGTCTTTGTATATTTTGCTACATAAGATCCTATTGCATTTGTTTTCTGGTTCTATTTTACTATAGCTCCTGTGTGTTTAGCTCCATTCTGTATTTAGGTAATCTCTTTTCCCTCTGGCAGCGCAGAAGACATACCAACTTTTTTGCATGGTATTAGAAAGATGCTTGATTTGGCATGACCAACTGGTGTTATGGGGATTATTTTGCTGTTAATTTGAAGCTAAGTGAGAAAATCGTGGCCCCTGCTAGATTGCTAACTGAGTAGTTTCTCAGGGTCTACAGAGCAGATTATTTTTCATAGCTGCCTGTAAGAATCAGCACTCAAGCTGATTGGTCTTCGTGCCTCCTCCCTGCACGCCAACTTCTCTCATTTTCTTCTCCCTTGAACTGTGCTGGAATGGCCACTTTTCTAGTCATGCAGTGAACTAGGGCAGGACAGCAATTGGGCCCAACAAAATGTTGTGGGTTTTTGTTTGTTGTTTTTTTTGTTTTGTTTTGTTTTTCCTTCCTAGAGCTTTTGGATTTTTTTCAGTAGGGTCAATTAGCCTAAGTGGCTTAATAAGTGGCTGCTCAAATGGTTGCTGGCACAGTGCAAGGAGATCCTGTTCTTGCAAATGAGCAGCTTAAAGCAATCCTGTTCCTGATTGTGACACTTCATAGAACATGGCAGGCCAGAGACAGGTGCTGCTTTGGAGCCCAACAGCCATTAATTGAGTGCCTCATCTTAAAAGAGATACAGTATGGTTCACTGCCTCAAAAGCTGGGTCAAATCTATTGCAAGATTGAGTCTGAGGTTGAAGTCCATTTTGTCACAGTAGAGAGGGCCATTGGGCTGTCCACACCAGCCATATGGACATGGAGGAATGCTAAACTGACACCAGGGTGCAGTGAAGGTGCACGGCTGGGCATTAAAGACAGGAAGTATCTGTGTCAAGCTGGGAGAGACAGAGCTGGCAGAGATAAACACTGCTGCCACCTGAACCATGCAAAGTATTTGGTAACCATCAGAATGTAGGGTATCTGTTTAATTTGTAATGGTGTTGCTGAAGAAACAAACTAAGATTAGAGAAGTGCTGAAGAATAAAATCTGAATTCAGGGTTAGTAATAATAGAAGCATGCTCAGTTTGCTTTCACAAGAAAGATTTGTTAGCTAAATTGATGAACTTCCTCTGCACAGATGAACAATTTAATTTAAAAGCTCGTTACTACTGATGGCTAATAGAAGATTTTAAGTTAAAGCAGTGGAATGTCAAATTCAGCATTGGTACAGACAGATGCAACTTCATAAAAGCTGGGGAAGATGTATTTAGATTTCTATTTTAGTTGTAAAAGGTGGTTGTGCTTTGAGTGCAAGATTGTTTTATTTCAGCAAAAGTTAAAAGAAGAGTTGCAGTACACAAGGTTAATTTACTGAGTGAATGCTCCTGCTCATTCATGTTAGTTTTGATCTTGATAAAAGGACTCTATACAATACACTATAGTGTGTTTTGCAATATTGAGGTTGGTCATAGCTTAAGTCTGGACACATAACGATAATACACAGTTACTACTTCCCATAGAACCTTCAGAGCACCACAGAGAGTGGCTCCTCTAGCAAAAACACTGCAAAGACTAAAAAGGCAGCCTGATTTCCTCCAGTCCTTCACCTAAGCTAATGAAATACTCATGTTGATTTTTGTGGAAACTAGCTCATGCACTAGTGAGTTGTAACCCAGAGCTCCTCGCCAGGGTCTTGTAGTCTTACACATCTCACAGATAATCCTTCGTGTTGCACCAGAAATACAGTTGACAGCCTCTTATGAAAAAGGACCTGAACATTATCTGTCTGATATATCATATATATCATATCATGCATTGATTTTCTGAATTATATTTCTCCGTTTCAAGTAAGATTTGAGACATAATTTTGTTTGGAGGACAGCTGGCTACCAAAGCCCAGAAAGGATAAGTGTAAACAATAATTTTGTCTATTGTGATATATTGTGCTAGTAAATAATAAAGAGCAATTACCAAGGGAAAGTTGGGAGCTAAATGCAACAACATGTAGTAGCATCCAGTCCCATATTCTGTCAATCAGTCATTCCACAAGTGGGAACAGTAAACCAGCTTCATAACAGAAAACATTAAATAGTGCTCCCTGGTTGCATGAGATTGGAAAAAAATAGAAATTAGGCCTACAAAATCAAAGTCTACATGAATATGGTCATATATTACAGCATGCCAGCAACTAGAGAGTGTCACATGGAGGTCATAACTGGAGCTGTTGCTTAGCTGAAAAACAGATTATATTAACCAACTTCAAGTTTATTGTAGCTGTCATGAGCTTGAAAGGGGATGATTTTACTTATTTTGTTGTCTTATTAGATTGATGTTCCAGAAGAAGGCAACAGGAAAAAAACACCCTGTTCATCACGATGTATTAAGTGAGTCAGATATATTTTACTTTCTTTCTCATGTTGATTTACTAGGCAGTAAAAAGAAAGGTAACTTAGAAGGCAGGTGTTATCTTTGCTGAGGTTAATAGGGTTAAGTTTCTTCACCAAAATACATTTTAAAAATTAAGCTCTCAAAACTGAAAGTTTGTGATATTTTAATAAGATTCATAGTCAGTCTTGTTAGAAGAGCATGTCCCATTTTCATTTTTCATGAAAACTGGATACAGAAACTGTGAACCAATCTGATTAACTCAGCATTGTACTCTTCTGTCTTTGTTCATGGCCTTGTTACTTTCTTCCAGTATCTTCATAAGATGTAACATGGCAGGGCTCCTACTCATTTGAAAGAACAAGATGAAACACAACAGCATACAGCTGCACTTGAAGCAGAGAAATCTATAGCCTTGAAGTGTATAACTATACAGGTCAATCTGAAGTTACCCAGATCAAATTATCAAATGCACTGCAGGCACTTTCATTTCTGATTTGCAAACAACTTGTACTAAGATCTGCGGGCAAGGAACAACTTTTCATGCTGTTTTTCCATCAATGATTTATTGGATTTTGTAATCCTTCAATGCAGCAATTAAAGCAAATTGAGGCAGAGGTAGGAACTTCTACTATCAATGGGATCATTCAGTTTGTTCTTCAGATGGAGCTTGGCTTGTTTTAAACAAAACTGTATTTTTAAAAGCTGCTGCTACAGCTAAGGAAGAAACGGAAAGTGCTGACTCTCTCCTGAAGCTTTTGCAAAGATATGGGTGGGGGATGAGGGAAGGAAATAAGCTTCTTACATTGGTTATGTGCTATGATGATATAGAAGATTGCCTAGTATTGCTATTTTCCAAAATGCCATTTCTGATAAATCAAAAATTTTCTTAGAGTAATTTCTGAAACTTATTGTATTAGTCTATTAAATTATTAAATCTATTTAAATAAGGAAAAAATAATTTATTTTCTTGGTATTATACCAAATTATCTAATATGTATCAGATGTATTGGTATTTCATTCTTCAGTAGGCAAGTTATTTCCCCACAACTGGGATAGATTTTACAGAATAAAGTTTAAAAAATTAGCTTCCCTCTATGAAACCTCCATGGATTTGGGACAAATAGATAATACATACCCCACACACCCACGTTTGATTGCATCTTAATTGGATGCTAGCTCACAAATAACCCATCAAACTCTAACCAAAAGTTTATCAGGACACTTACTTGGATATAGGCAAAATCATAAAAGTGGACAGGTATCCCAGGAACAAAGTGGTTGTTTGGAAGAGTAATGGGGTCTTTTGCAAAACACTGTAACAGCCAGGAACTGCTGCAGCCACCTCCTCCAGACTCCATCTTCCACAGAAGGCAGAGACGAGAACCAGGGCTAGACCCCATTGTTCTACCTGTTCTATCTTTGATCTTTTTAATTAAAGATATCAATCTATATTTTGCACAATGCTGCCTCATTATTAAGTGGACAATAACAATAAATAACCAAAGTAAGTTTCTTTTTTGTTTGTGCAGAGGCCCAAGATGCGTAGCACGATTTGAATATATTGGAGATCAGAAAGATGAGCTCAGTTTTTCAGAAGGTGAAACTATTATCCTTAAAGAATATGTAAATGAAGAGTGGGCCAAAGGAGAGCTCAGAGGCACGTCTGGAATTTTCCCCTTGAACTTTGTGGAAGTAATTGAAGACCTGCCTGGAACAGGTATGAACATGTTTGCAAAAGAACTTGGTTTTGTACTGCATGTGTAGAGGCAGCACATAGGCAGAAAGTCCAAAAGGCCAGTGAATGCAGGGAGGAGGTAAAAAGGGACACACACACACACACACACACACACACACACAAAACCCAAAACCCTAAAATCAAAACGAACAGTAGAACTTCTAGAGAAGCTCTTCTAAATAACCACTTGGAATATCTAAAATCTCTATAATGAGTAAATTTTGAGTAGTCATTGCTTCTATTCCAAGTTGTGCTTTATTTATGTAGGTGCAGGAGCAGCACCGAAGAACAAGGTGGAGGTTTCTTCTTCCCTTCCTCAGGTAATAAAATTTCATAGGTGAGCGCCAGAATTTACATAGTGGTTTCATAGATTTACACAGACTTTCTCTGACAATGTCAGATGAGCTGCACAATTTTAAACCTGAATGTAACACAACTGCCACAGCATGCAGTGCTGCCTGGTTACATGTCAAATTCTGACAGTTGGCCTAAACTGATTGAATTCATAGCTCTGGCAAATTAACTGAAGTAAATTTTTATCCTTTGTGCTTAAACAAATTCTTGTTAGCTCTATTTTAAGTATTGCTGCAGTAGTCTAATTTTTGAATTTATTAATCCTGTCCCTTGCCACCAATGATCCAAAGGAATGTGTCTGAGCCTAGAGGAAATTCTATAGGCATTGCTGAAATGCCATTCTAGTCTACATCTGCAGTGACACTATTGTATCAGAGAAAGTCAGGCCACCCCTGTTCTCTACAGCTGCTTTCACCAGTAGCCATCAGCTCATGGGCTTCGTTAACACTTCTAAAATTAATGCATTTCTTTTGTCACTTGAATAGAACAACAGACGCTCAGTAGAGTGGTGTGAAGCGCTTCACGATTTTACAGCAGAAACCAAAGGTGATTTATCCTTTAAAAAGGGAGACTTCATCCAGATACTGGAACAAGTAGATTTGGAGTGGTATAGAGGAAGACTGAATGAAAAGGAAGGGATTTTTCCAGCTGTTTTTGTTCAGACCTGCTCAGGTACAGTGCTCCTACTAGACGGCCGTTCACTACTCCTTGTGTTGTGACAGTCGTGACAGAGTTCGGGGAGAGCACGGCTGTTACTTTGCATGAACAAGCCACACACAGCACCACAGTCCTTACTCTCCTAAAGCTGAGCTAAGTGTCGACCCACCCTCTCTAATAATGGTAATATAATTCTCTAGTCAGTAATCTGGGAGGTGATGCACATTCTGGGATTCCACACTTTGGAACTTGAGGTATGGTTTAGGCATAAGCAAAATAGGACCCTTCAGCTTCCTGCATTAGGAATTCAGGAGTACAAAAGATGAGGGGGAGCCAGGTTCTCCCTCAGCTGAAAAAAGCACTGCCAAAAAGCTGGTAGAGCTGTAAATAACTACAGCTGCTGCATCTTAGCAAGGAACAAACGCTGCTTGCTCTACTTGAGCTTCTGTTAGGTACCCAGATCAATTCAGTCCAAAGCTTCAGAGAAGAGATGGGAAAAAAATGAACTAAAATCACAATTTTGAAATAAATGCCACCTAACTGGCAAAGAGCACACGCAGAGTGCTGCTTCATCTCCAAATACAAAGAGCAAAAAAGGCCATTGGAAAACACAAGTGAACTCAATTTAGTCCTCTTAGAAGCAGAACAATGACAACATGTTAGTACTGTAAAATGGAATAAAAATCTCCACTGACACTGTTCAAGTAGGAACTGAACTTTGAATTTGTGACTAGCAGTAGTAATTTCAATTTGTTAAGTAGCAGTAGTAAAAACATCTGGGCACCCTGTAGTGCACTAATGGGAGAAAACATGAGAGTGACAGGCAACTTCTCCAGAAACAGATTTGTTTTCACTCCAATCCAAATAATTTGTCTCGTCTGTGTTCTGCAGCCAGAGGAGTGCTGTCACAGTCTGGAGGAGGGAAGAAAGGAAAAGCCAAAGCTCTTTATGATTTTCATGGAGAAAATGAAGATGAGCTTTCCTTCAAAGTAAGTGACTCTCTTAGTCCCATTTTCCAAAAGGTCTTACGCTGCTAAAGAAAGCTAAAAAATAATCATAGAATCATAGGGG